AACTCAAGGGTGTTGCACAGAAGACTTGGCTCTGAGGAACAGGGAGTGACACAAATCAGGAATTCACATGACATGCATAATGCGTATTGCCTAAGGCCCTTCATAGATTTACCAAAAGGAGCACAGCAGGACCCAGGGACAGGACAAGAGGAATGGGAAGGTCGCCTTGTGAGTATCTGACTTGGGTCCAATTCCTGGTACCCCATAGGCAGCCCTGAGTCCCGCCGGGAGTGACTCCTGAGCACCACTGGGTGTGAGCCTGAAATGAATTTTTTGTTTTAAAGCACACAAGCATATTACTTGGTGTCTGCCCTCCCGCTTCTCTGCTCAATCTACTGTAACTGAACCTACAAACCTACAGAAGTCACCACCACTGGCCTCCAAACTGTGAGAAGTTTATTCAGGCTCCTAATGAGACCCTGCACACCAACCCCCCACCCCCACCCCCTTTGCTTTTCCAGGTCTGGTGTAATGAGAGAAGTTTAGCTACAGAAAAGAGATTCTGGAACAGGATGTAGCTGGGCCTTTCCCTTGCCTGTCACTCCACTCTGGTGAAATCGTCTACCCCTCCTTAGGAGCCTGATTCCTCCTTTTGAAGCCAGCGCCATTTGCCCCAGAATGTTCCTCCTGAGTGGCCCCAGCTCTGAGGTTTTTGTTTCAACTCTACTGAAAGCTCCCCTGTTCCCAAGGGAAATACATTATGCAAAATTTGTGTGTCTGGGCAAACTGGTAAAGAGGGTCGAAATATCCTTCAAAGCATTGGTGCAAACACAGTCTTAGCAAGTGCACAGGTGTGCGTGCAGCGTTTCATGCGTGGGGGGTTAGAGGAAGACTATCAGGTTCGACAAGTGGACAGAGGTGGGAAGGCAGCCGACTGCTAGAACTTGTTTGGAGTAGGAAGTCTGCAGGTGCTCCTCTTCGAATCACAAGAAGAATGAACTGCCCCTGACTCATTGGGGAGAGAATGCGAGTAATCTCTCTTGCTAGGTGGGCCACACCCAGCCATGCTCAGGACTGACTCCTGGCTCTGTGCTCAGAGTTCACTCCTGGCAGGCTACAAGAACCAGATGGGGTGCTGATCAAATCTAGGGTAGGCTGAGTGCAAGGCAAACACCCTACCTGCTGTACTATTACCCTGGTCCAACACGACAATCTCTTATTTTAAAATTAGTATTGATTTTGCCTGAGAAGGGAATCTTACAGTAGATCTTCAGTATCACCTTTTTTCTGTTAAAGTAATTATTTCTCTGTATAGTAATTTTTTATATGTAGTCATTTGTTTTCCAACTACAGAGGATTATCTCTGTGTCTACATGCATATTTATTGAATAGCATGAAAGTTTTTCTACATCTCTTGGTATTTCAGTTTGCAATTCAATCAGGTGTGGGCATTCAGCCATGTACCAGCACACACTCAATGGAAAGTTACTACACCCCAGCCACTGCACTGGAGGATGAGGTTCAGGCTGAGGAGGATGAGGTACAGAATGGGCACTGCCCTGGAGGATGAGATTCGGGCTGAGGAAAATGAGGTACAGGATGGTCACTGCACTTGAGGATGAGGACTGGGCTGAGGAGGATGAGGCACAGGATGGCCACTGCCCTGGTGGATGAAGGTGAGGCTGAGGAGGATGAGGTACAAGATGGCCACTACCCTGGCGGATGAGGTTCAGGCTAAGGAGGATGAGATACATAATGGTCCACTGCACTAGGGTGCACACTCCCTCTTCCTCACTTTCTGTACCTAATCGAATTTCTAGAGTTTTCTCTTCCTTTCTTTTTTCTTTTTTTGGTCTTTTTGGGTCACAACCGGCTATGAATCAAGGGTTACTACTGGCTCTGCACTCAGGAATAACTCTTGGTGTTTCTCAGGGGGACCATATGGGATGCCGGGGATCGAACATGGATTGGCCGTGTGCAAGGCAAACGCCCTACCCGCTGTACTATTTCTCCAGCTCTCTCTTCTTTTTTAATACATAATCTTTCCTCTAAACGACAGACAGATAGTTCTCTAGTTTTTAGTCTAATAAATGTCAATGAAAATACTGTGAAACACTGCCAGAATAAAAAAAATGCCTAACCCACCTCAAGATCAGTACTTACTTGCATATCAAATATGGTTTTTCTCTCTAACATTATTTTTTACATACATAAAGCAGATTTAAAAATACTATTACTTCACCAAAATGCAGTTGTACAGAGTCAAATAACTTGAAATTAGGAAGGACAGACTGGGCACTTAACATAGGGTGAGGAACTTGACAAAGACTGAACAACAAAACAGAAAATTAAAATAGGGGAAAGTTTCTCCAAGAGAGATCTGTGAACAGCTTGACGAGGATACGTAGGACAAATGGTATATGCTTTGACTAGTAATGGACTAAAAAATTGAGAACACTAAGAATTTTGATAAATATCTGTGAACTGCTGAAGCAAAGTGCAATTTGGTTTTGGGGCTTTAGTGAAGTGGCCAGGTGCTTCGACCTTAACATAAATCATTAACTAAAATATTTTGTCCTTTGCCAAACTTCTTCTCTCTTCAATCCCCGACTTCTCCTTTGAAATGCAGTGCAGAATATGTAAACACCTGCCTTGGGCTCCACTCCACCCTGCTGGTTATATCTCCTACTACTACAGAGTGAAGAAAAAAAAAAGGAATTCGATTCTTTCTTCCTCCAATTACCAGGAATACTTCAATTAACAACAATGTATAGTAGTACTAAACTCAACATTCAATGGAGAAATTTAAAATGTGTGAGAGCAGAAAAACAAGGCCCGTAATGAAGGCCTTTGGAGAGCCAGCAGAGTGGGTGGGGCGCTTGCCTTGCGTGTCATCACCCTGTTCGCCTGCACCATACATGGTCCCTGAAACACCATCACGAGTGACCCCTGAGCGCAGAGTCAGGATTAAGCCTGAGCAGAGGAGGGTGTGGTCCCAAACCCCAATAATAATAATAATAATTTTTTAAAAATAAAAAGAACGAAAGCCTGATATCTCAACAGCTGGAATGTCATTATACGTAAACAGATTAGAAAGATAGATATAATACTGAGAAGGTAAGTTATACTTCTGAAATCCTAGTATAGGGTTTTCAAATAGTCAAATGTATTTCTAGAACATTAGCACTGTAGCACTGTCCTCCCGTTGTTCATCGATTTGCTCGAGCGGGCCCAGTAATATCTCCATCGTGAGTCCTGTTGTTACTGTGTTTAGCATATCAAATATATCATGGATATCTTGCCAGGCTTTGCCATGCGGGCGAGATACCCTCGGTAGCTTGCCGGGCTCTCCAAGAGGGGCGGGGGAATCAACTCGGTTCGGCCGCGTTGGCCGCATGTAAGGCAAACGCCCTACCGCTGTGCTATGGCTCCAGCCCATTAGGTAAAGGTAAGGTAAAGGTAAGGTAAAGGCCCTCCCGTTGATCGGCCTTTTACCAGCCCATTAATATACCAGAAAAGTTCTATAGTTCTGTTTTTGCTTTTTGGGTCAAACCTGGCAATGCGCAGGGGTTACTCCTGGCTCATGCACTCAGGAATTACTCCTGGTGGTGCTCAGGGGACCATATGGGATGCTGGGAATCGAACCTAGGTCGGCTGCGTGCAAGGCAAACATCCTACCCACTGTGCTATCACTCCAGCCCCTCTATAGCTCATTTGTGGACATAATTTAACCTGTCTTAATATGATCTGAGAATAAGGAAAACTAGGACAATTTACCCAATGTCCCATACATGTCAGTTTTTTTACTATAATATAGTATAAAGGTTGCACTTAAAAATTATATCAGGCCACTCTTTGCCCTTTTACAAAAGACAATAAATGTTTGATCTTGCTTTTGTTATCAAGTGTGGTAAGAAGAACTACTATGGGTTCTTTGGTAGAGGACAAAACATTATATTTTTTTAAATTTGTTATTTAAAAATGTTTCTACAATGTAAAATTGAAAGAAGACTTAAAAGCTTTTCATTCAGTGCCCCCACCCCCTCCATACACACACTTCCCTTTTCTGGCCTCCCAAGGGATGCTCAGGCCACCTGGATGTGCCACCAGCAATTCTCAACCAACCCAGTCAGTGGTTCAGTGCCAGAGCCCAGGTGATGCTCTTGGGCCCGAAGGGCTGGAGTATCCAGGCCACCTCGGAAGTGCTGGGAGTCTCTAGGGCTGCACTGGGCATTTTGAAGGGGACCATGGAATGCAGGAACCAAATCCGGTGCAGGTATGTGCCCTAACACTGTACTATCTTTTGGCCCCCCAATATCCATTTTCCCCCCTCATCTGTTTTTACTAAAAACTGTGACAAAAACCCCAAAACCATAATCACCAAAGGCATCAGTGATAAGAAAAAGTTGTTTATCTATAAAAAGTAGTTCAGCTTACACAGCATTGAAAATATACTTTAAGGTTTTCTGAAACTGAAGTGTTCTGGTATCAGGTTATTTCTAACCCAACTTCAGTGCACTTTCAAGGATTCTAAATTATTATTCAGCCCTATCTGAGCTATTTCTTGCCACGCCAAACTGGATTTCTGACCCTCATATTAGAATAATCCTTTATTTTAAATTAACCACAAGGGCAATAATTATTCTGAGTTGTTAGAGACTATGTTTCAAAGGCCTGGGGAAGAGGTGAGCATTACTGGGCAACACTGTTTACTCACCTGCTATCTTTTAACATTAAAAGAGAATCCAAAATAAATATCAAATTTTAAGAGCACTATTTCTTAATAAGTCAGAAAAAGTAAGCCTGAAATCATGTTCTCATTGTTGCCTAAGTCAAAGGCAAACAAATGTATCAAATAATCTTAAGTGAAAATTTTTTAAGTCCAAGGAATAGTTAGAAATCCACCAGACATCATTTCAATATAGTTTCAGACAAATTAGTATAAAATAGTCCATAAAAATACACTAACATTAATAAAATGGACAAATTCCCTACTGAAAGTTCTATCTATTCTAAATCATCAGCATATACATAGCTTTTGAAAGAATAAAATTATTGCATTACCTTCTCCTTCTTTGATAATATAAATGCACCAACCAATGGGCAATAAAAGGCCATATTATAGCAAAAGTTAATGCACCAGGAGACATCTCAAAGGGCCACCAAGACGGTCTCTGAAAAAGTAAAATATCTGGTCACCAAGCTATTACGTATGCAAACATGAACTTAAGAAACAAAGATAACAATAATTTTTAATACAAATAACTAATAAAAAATCTACGTTCATCTCAAAGGAAAGAGTCTTATTTTACAGCATTATTTAGTTCAGTAGAATTTCAGGGATACTAGGTACTTAAATACAAAACAAATATGTCAAAAATTCAGTTCCTCCTGCCTTCCCTGCTCTTGGGTCCCACCTGGAGGCCTCAGGGACTACTGTTCCAGGCACAGAGGTCATTCATGGTGTTGCTCAGGGAGCCACATGGGACCAGGGATCAAACCCAGGCCTCCTACATGAAAAGCATGTGTTCTGACCCATTGGGCAATCTCTCCCTCCACCCCCTATCCTTTCTTTTCTTTTTTATTTTGGTGTTGCAGTGCTGAGGAAGGAACCCAGGCCTTCTAACATGCAAGGCATATGGCTCTATGTCCCAGGTTCCTGAAAATTATGTGTGTATGTGTGTGTGTGTGTGTGTGTGTGTGTGTAATTTTATACAGATATATTTGTTTACTTATTTTTGAGCTGAAACCACTTTTGCTTTAGGTGGACAGTGCGAAGACTGCAGCACAGCCAGCATCAGTCTGCCAATATCCCTCACCACTGCCCCTAGGTCCCTCCCCACCTAGTCTTTCCCTCCCTCCCTACCCCGACACACTTGGAGACCCCAGGTTTGCTGTTAAAGGGGAAAAAAATTGGGGGTGGGAGGGATGGGTCAGCCACATTGAAGGTGAGTGCCTTAATCCCTTTGCTTAACCCCTCTCTGGCCTCAAGAACAAATATATTTCTGACTTCCAAGTTCAAAAGGGCAGATTTCATTTGGAATACTTTGAGGACAACATCTAATCTTATTTGTTGCAACTTATTTAAAACTCTCAATAGTTATATTTAAGAAAATATTTCTTACCCGTGAGGACTGATGACTAGTCTGTGATGATGATTTTGCCTAAAATACATATAAAAGTGGTTAGTTTTGGCAAACATTTAAAAATACGGTATATTTCTTTTTTTCCCAGAAAGCATAAAAGTTTGTTCTTTTTTGTGTGCTTGGTTTGTGCTACACCCAACTGTGCTCTGGGCTTACTCCTGATTCTGAGTTCAGGGGTCAACACCTGGAAGGTCTTGGCGAACCGTATGTGGTGCTGGGCCACACTTGGCAGTGCTCAGGGGAGACTCCCAAATTCTGACAATGCTCAGGGAATTACATGGTGCCAGAGACTGAACTAGGGTCAGCTTCAAACAAGGCAAGTGCCTTACCTCCTATTCTATATCACTTTGGCCCCTAAAATTTCTTTTATTGGGTCGGAGCAATAGCAGGTAGTGCATTTGCTTTGCATGCAGCCAATTTAGATTCAATTGCTGGCAACCCACATAGTCCCCGGAGCCCACCAGGAGTGACCCCTGAATGCAGAGCCAGGGGTGGGCCCTGAGCACTGCCAGATATGGCCCAAAACAAAACAAGCCAAAAAAAAAAAAGGTATTTCAATTCAAGTGGCATTTAGCTTTTGGGTCAGTCTTTTCTTACATGCTGTTTTGATTTACTTTTACTCTTGAACATACAGGAGTTTGTATCAATTTAATCAATTCCAATTAGGGCTTTCTAGAACCAGCAGTAGAAGAAGATCCGGCATGTGTGGGCGCTGACCTGAGGAGCTGCCAAGGTTTCCAGTTTGTGCAGTCTGTGCAGGACGTTCTGCATGTCCTCCTGCAGTCGCATGAGCACAAGCGCAATCTGCTCGTTGAGACTACCACGGGGCCCTCGGTCCGAGCCCCAGCGCTCTCCGTCACCTCCACTCCCCACCTGCCGGCCCTTGGCGCCTTCGCTCAAATGTTGCATCCGATGCCCTGTGGGAAGAGAGCAAAACCGACTGGCTGTGAATCATGTTTATGGAAGGAGGAATAACGCGTTTTCTTTGTTTTCATTCTGTTTATTTGAGATCCAGACTGGGGCAGAAACAAATCACGTATACAAGATAAATAATCAGGATCAAAGGAGTAAATGGACAAGCTTCTCTGTGTCTGTATAAATGTCTGCTAATTAATTTTATGGGTTTATGGAGCGATAGCACAGCAGGTAGGGCATTTGCCTTGCACGCAGCCAACCCGACCAACTCGGGCTCGATTCCTCTGCCCCTCTCAGAGAGCCCGGCAAGCTACCAAGAGTATCCCGCCCGCACGGCAGAGCCTGGCAAGCTACCCATGACATATTCAATATGCCAAACACAGTAACAAATGTCACAATGGAGATATTACTGGGCCCACTCGAGCAAATCGATGAACAATGAGAGGACAGTGACAGTGACAGTGAATTAATTTTATAATATGCTTACCATGCCAGTACACCCTCTAATGCATACAATTCATGAACCTGAATTTAGAACACATTGCCGAAAGTTCTTTACCAATATGAAAACAAAATTGTAAAACCTTAGATGCCAGAATATTAAAAGTTACACTAAATATTGCTTTCCTCTATGGGCCTGGTGGTGATCTGGGCCACACATGGTGGTGCTCAAGGGCCATCCCCAACTTTTACAGTGCACATGGAACCATACATCAAGGGGACAGACCCAGGGTCTATTTGCTAGTTTTAAATAGCATTTTTTTAAAGACTCTGGAGATTTACCCATAGTAGGAAAAAAAATGGCAGCAACAAAACTGAAGCCATTTGTATCACTCATGAAGGTGATAAAATACAAATTTAGCTATCTCAAAAAAGTGGGTAAAGAGCCTGGGAAGAGCAGGAGCACCCCAGGGTCAATCCCCAGCACCATATAGGGTCTTCTGGGCATAACCAGGTATGGGCCTGGAGGCCCTTCAAGCACCGTACTCAGACCCTAGCACTGAACTGAATATTGTCAGACCCTAGCACTGAACTGAATATTGAAGCTGAATATTGTCAAGTGTGGCCCCCAACCCTCTGAGCACTATTTGGCACCTCCTCCTCAAATCCCCCAAAATTAAAAAAAAAAAAAAAACCTGCATAAGGAGGCCAGGGTGATATATAGGGCTGAAGTGCTTGCTCAGCATGAAGGAAACCTGAGTCCCATCTCTGCCCCCACCAGCAGCGCGCGCGCACACACACACACACACACACACACACACACACACAGTAATGCATAAGGAATCGAGGAGTGAAATATTTCCCTGCTGTGCTGCAGCCAACACCCTCCCTGGCCCTGCATAGTCAAAGGAAAAAATTCGACACAAAGCAACAAAGCAAACTGGTCAGACCCAAGATGGCCTGTGAGGAAGCCCTTGCCTGTTCCCACAGCAGACTGAGGGTTCCAGGGTCTCCTTCGAGCACGTCCCACTTTCACTAGCTTTCACACATGAGCACGGAACCAAGACTCACCTCTCGCTCTTCTGATGTTAGAGAATTCCTCACTCTCCCCACCCCGCTTCTCCCGGTGTGGCGCGCCACTGTTACTTCTGCCATCTTCTCCTCCATGCTTCACTTCACCTTTCCTTTCAGCTGCGACTACCTGCATGGCCCCAAAGTGGCCATTTCCAGGAGATACTTGAACATCTTCAGGGAAACCAGAACCCTCCGAGGATTGACAGAGGTCACCACTCAAGTAATAATGAAACGGTCCATTGTTTGAGGTGAAGCTGTCTAACGCCTACAAAGTTACAATAGTGCTTGGTTAAAATCAGTAGACATAAATTATTCCCCACAAGTTTCTGTGGTAACAGGAATGCTGTTTTTATTTTTTGCTTTTTGGGTCACACCCGGCGATGCACAGGAGTTACTCCTGGCTCTGCACTCAGGAATTACCCCTGGCGGTGCTCAGGGGACCATAAGGAATGCTGGGAATCAAACCCAGATCGGCCGCAAGCAAGGCAAGTGCCCTACCCACTGTGCTATTGCTCCAGCCTGGCAGTGCTGTTCTTATAAAATATTTTTTTTTCTAAAAATGCCTGTTCAATTCAAATTTTGCTTCCTGTTAGTAGGGAAGAAATTGGGTGGGAATGATTCGTCCGTGAGGAAAGAATTTAAAAGTTGGGGGAGTGAATTGTTGTTTTGGTTTGTTTTAGGTCACACCGGGCAGTGCTCAGGGCTTGCTCCTGGCTCTGCATTCAGGGAATAACTCTTGGTGAGGTTCAGGGACTCATGATGTGGTACTGTGCCTCCAACCCTGATCGGTGCATGCAAAACAGCCGTACCTGCTGTGCTATTGCTATGGCCCCATAGTGAGTCGTGCTCAGAATTATTTAAATGTTTCTTCTCATCCTAGACATTACTGTGTTTATCACCATGCTTATGAGGTAAGAGACAAAATTCCTAGCTGCAAGGAATTTTTTGCATTCTGAAAGGGAGTCACAGAAACAAAATTATAACAACACAAATTGCTATGTGCTGTGGAAGAAAAGTAAAGCATACTGGAAGGAACTCTTATCCTTGGGTTAGGTGGAGGCTGGGTCAAGATGGGATTTCTGAGAGCCAGAGCAGGTAGGGTGCCGGCCTTGCATGCAATCAATCCAGATCTAATCCCTGGCATCCTATAACCCCGTCACATCCCACCAGGAGTGAACTGTGAGTGCAGGGGAGGATTAAGTCGCAAGCACCACCGGGTGTGCCCCCAAAACAAACAAAAAAGGCAGTATTCCTAGAAGAAAGGATATGAACTATAACTTGAAGAACAAATGAGTTTAAGTCAAATCAAGGATGTGGTAATGATGACTGTCTGTACCAATAAAGGAGTGGGGGATGTGGGGGCTTTAAGAACTTTTGAGGGGTCAAAACAATAGTACAGCTTGGGGAAGGCACTGACTTCACATGAGGCTGACCCAGTTCAATTCCAGCATCACATACAGTTCCCCAAATATAGCCAGTAGTAATCCCTGAGCACAGAGACAGAAGTAATCCTTGAGCAACACCAGGTATGGCCCTCAAACCTAATAATTTTAAATAAGGGATTTGGATGTTTATTACTTTTTTATCTTTATTTTTGCAAGTGGCCAATATGGCCGACCCGAGTTCGATTCCTCCGCCCCTCTCGGAGAGCCCGGCAAGCTACCGAGAGTATCTTGCCCACACGGCAAAGCCTGGCAAGCTCCCCGTGACGTATTCGATATGCCAGACACAGTAACAAGTCTCACGATGGAGATGTTACTGGGCCCGCTCGAGCAAATCGATGAATAACGGGAGGACCTTGACCGTGACCGTGATTGCACTTCATTCTCAATTTGGTATCCTTACCATGACTCTTTCCACATTTGTTATTGTGTTTGATATTGGTTAAAAATTGTTTTAACCAATCAGTTACCATTAAAATTTGAGAAAACTGGGGACTGGAGAGATAATACAGTCATATGTGTGTTTGTGGTGCATGTGACTGGGCCGGTTCAATCCCCTATAAGGTCCCCTGAGAACCACCAGAAATGATCCTTAAGTGCTGCCAACTGTGACACAAAAACAAAAATTAAAATAATAATAAAATAAAATTTGAAAAAATTAAGAGGTTGGTTTTTATTATATGATGAGGAGAGAGAAAAAAAGGAGAACAAAGTAAAAGAGTTAAAAAAAGTGAAAGAGTTAAATTTGTTATTTCAGAGAGGGAAAAGATAAATGAGTATCTGGGTCAAGGAAGGCATAATTAGCATGCATTAGATCCTGAGTTTGAGTCCCCACACACTGTTTGGGTATGGCTCTGGTGACCCCCAAACACTGGTTGGGAGACACCCCCCCATCCAGGAAAAAACTTTTTTTTCCTTTTTATTTTAACCCTTGAAATACTCTTGATTTTTCTTTAATTTTTGAATCACCATGAAATAGTTACAAGCTTTCATGTTTAGGTTACAATCACACAATGATCAAACTCCCATCCCTCCACCAGTGCACACTCCCCACCACCAATATCCTTGGTATACTCCCCACCTTTCCCACCCTCCCTCTGCCTCCATGGCAGACATGTTTCCCCATAATCTCTCTCTACTTTTGGGCATTATGGTTTGCAATACAGGCCCTGAGAAGTAATCATGTTTGGTCCTTTATCTACTTTCTGCACACATCTCCCATCCTGACTCATTCCTCCAGCCATCTTTTTCTTAGTGATCCCTTCTCTATTCCAGCTGCCTTCTCCCCTTAGCTCATGAGGCAGGCTTCCAGCTATGGAGCAATCTATCTATCCCGTGTATCTACTATCCTTAGGTGTTAGCCTCATGTTATGTTTTGTTTCATACTCCACAAAAGAGACCAGTCCTTCTATTTCTGTCCCTCTCTTTCTGACTCATTTCCCTTAGCATGATACTCTCCATGTCTATCCATTTATAAGCAAAGTTCATGACTTCATCTCTCCTGACAGCTGCATAGTACTCCATTGTATAGCTGTAACAAAGTTTCTTTAACCAGTCATCTGTTCTAGAGCACCCGGGTTGTTTCCAGATTTTGGCTATTGCAAACAGTGCTGCAATGAACATATAGGTACAGATGTCATTTCTACTGTGCTTTTTGCATCTTTGGGATATATTCCCAGAAGTGGTACTGCGGGATCTTATGGAAGCTCAATTTCTAGTTTTTGAAGGACTGTCCATATTGTTTTCCAGAAAGGCTGGACTATTGGGCATTCCCACCAACAAAACTGGTTTTCTGTAAGCTACACCTGAGCTGTTAGAACAGCTATTAGAACAGGGTGAGGAAAGAGGAGGGGAAGAAAATAAAATCCCAAACACAGATTCTAATGTCAAGGTCAGCCTAGTCCTCAGAAAAAGCTAGCAAAGAGGAAAAAAAAACAAGTTATAGTTCTTTAATTCTTTTTTTCTAAATGTTACCTTGCAATATTGAACCCAAGCTAAAATTTGAAAATAATTTCCACTTAAATTTTCAGTTTAATGTGAGAAACAGATTTATTTGTTCGAAACTTATCCAATCTTCTTGAATGTTAAAGTTTCAGAGACTAGCTTAAGAAGTTTACCATCTGCCTCTTCATCCCACATCTCAGAATATTTACAGATATAAATAAATCATAAATTATAATACATTTAAATATTTTAATATGCAGGAATTTTACATATTTTTAACTCACAAAAATAACTTAGAATACAAATGTTTAAACATTTTGAAAGTATGTTTTCAAAGTGATGAACAGAATGTACATTTGCTATTAACATAAACTGTGCGCTAAATTCTGATATACTGCCTTGAAAATCCAACAACTAAAATATATCTTTTTTACCTCTTCTTGTCCAAATTGCTCCATGGAATCACAGTAAACTTCACTGTCTGAATCACTCGTCAAATGCTGAATTCCTGAAACATCTTCAACATGATCATCATTTATATCTAAATAGGGCCAAATGTATAGGTAATCTAATTATTCCTGAAGAAGCATTCATTTACCCCATTTTTAAAATTTACCAAGCTATGCTTTTTCTATATAACTACCAAAACTTTAAATTTAGCTTGATAATTTTAATTGAAAATATTATAAACTATTTATTTTATTTTACTTTTGGTTTGGGGGCCAAACCTGGCATTGCTCAGGGCTTCTGGCGCTGCACTCAGGAATCATTCCTGGTGGGGTTCAGGGTACCACATGGAATTCTGGGGATCATACCCAGGTTGGTCACATGTAAGACAAGTGCCTTACCCATTCTTCTATCTCTCTGGCCCCACAGAATATTTCATCATGGAGTTACACAAGACACTATCCAGATCAAATATTACAAAACATCATAATCTTACAAGCGAAAACTTTAAGGTAAAAGACCAAAATTTGGATACAATTAATGTGGGTTATTTTTTTGTTTTGTTTTGTTTTTTGGGTCACACCTGGTGATGCTCAGGGGTTACTCTTGGCTTTGCACTCAGGAATCATTCCAGGCAGTGCTCAGGGGACCATATGGGATGCTGGAAATCAAACCTGGGTTGGCCGCGTGCAAGACAAATGCTTTACCCTCTGTGCTATCACTCCAGTCCCTGTGTTTGGTTTTTACATCAAGAAATAGTCAACAATTCTTGATATCTCAACTGAGTTGCAGCGATGTAGGTGTGCTGTATACAGTCTAGGCTCACTTCTAGAGTCCTACAATATGGCAAGATCCTAATTATTATTCCAATTGGAGAATAAGGCATCATATAATTAGAAGTTTATGGTAAAAGAAGCATCAGAGGGGCCAGAGAGATAGACAGTGAGTAGGGAGCTTGCCATGTATGTACCCGACCCAGTATCATAGATGGTTCCCTGAACCCCACCTGAGCACTGAGCTAGGAGTATACCTTGAGAATAATTGGCTATAGTCCCACAACCCAAAACGAAACAAAAAAGCACAAGAAGTAAAAGTAGATCAGAGCAATAGCACAGTGGGCAGAGCATTTGCTTTGCACGCGGTCAATCTGGGTTTGATCCCTGGTACCATCTGGTCCCCTGAGCCTGCCTGGAATGATCCTTGAGCACAGAGTCAGGAGTAAACCCTGAGCACTGAGTATGGCTCAAAAGCAAAAAACAAAACCAAAAAAAAAAAATGTAAAAGCAAATATTCCACTGATTTTATTTTAAAATTCCATGTAAAATCAGAATATAAATGTCCCAATAACATGTTAGTCTTATATTTGCTGTCTTTGTGATTCACTTTCAAACCTACAAAGTCTTATTTTATCAACACATCCTAAAATAGTACTTATTGAATATCTTTTAAAATTCTAAATATCCTAAATATCCTAAAATTATTACAAGAACATTCCACTTACAGTAAAAGAGTCTGAGCATATAATTATTATAGCATGATACCTTGGTGAGTGAAGACAGCAGTTTTTCCACTTTGCTCCAAGTTCTGATCTACAGGTTTGACTTCGTGGGCACTTCTGCCTTTCAGGGAAGAAGTGGCATGAATGTCATTCTGCATATCCTGAACAAAGCTGTCTTTATCATACCCATTTGTGACAATGATTTCCAAATTCCTGTGGTCTGCAGATTTCCTCATTGTTTTCTTATCTTTCATATTAAAACGGAGAGAGATAAAGGTTCAAGGTAAGAAAACTTCCGTATGCTAAGTTCCAATATCAAGTACTCATTTCCCAATCTACCATAAATCCCTTTGAAGGATTTTCTACTTGCAGATGGATGCTCTGTGTAAGATAGGGGTCCTGATGACCTGCCAAGAGCTCACCCAAACTGTAATGGTTTCAAAACTGCCTTAACTCCCTGCCAAACTTCTTGAACGTCTAAGAGACAATCTCTCAAGGTCTTGACACTGAGAATTATCTAATTTCTCCATGAGTCCCAGCAGTACAAAAAGGTCCCTCCAAGAAAATGTTATTAGTCTACATTACTACACAGGAAGGGCACAAGTACAATGAGTGGCTTGTTTTTGTGTTTTTCTTTCTCCTGTCTAAAAAAAATTTTTGCCCACAAATCACTGGTATTCTTACAAACAAGGACCCTCTCCCTGCCTATAGTATTTCATGACAGTAATGTTCCTTTTTCATCAAAATATGTTTTCTGGACACAATTTTATTGTTGTTTTTCTTGTTTAACTGGAGCCATACTTGGCTGTGCTCAAGGCTTATTCATACTTCTGGGACTATCCTGCGTGTGTGCTAGGGACATAGAAGTACTAGGCATCAAACCAGAGTCAGCTGCATGCAACACAAGAGCCTTAACCCCTGTCCTATGTCTCTAGGTTCTCAATTTTTGGGTTTTTTTTTTTAATACACTCTGCAATGTTCAAGGATTACACCTGGTTCTGCACTCAGGAATTACTCCTCGCAGTGCTCAGGTGCCAGGGATCAAACCCAGGTGGTCACATGAGGCAAGCACCTTAACCACTGTATCATCAATCCAGCTCCCTCTGGGTCCTCAATTCAGTTCTTTTTCATGGGGGGGGGGGGGGGGAGGGAACACACCTGGTGCTGTGCCTGGGGCTTATTTTTGGCTCTTCAGTCAGGAATCATTCCTGGCAGAGCTTTGGGGAACCATACGGGATGCCAGGTATGCAACAGGGTCAGCGGTGTACAAGGCAAGCACCCTATCCGCTGCACGACCCATCCAGCCCCTTCAACTCAGTGCCTGACAAGATATTGAGGGTTTGTCTCTTTTCCTTGGTAACGTGCATATTCACCTTGGAAACAAATTCCAGAGTGAATGCATTTCTAATGGAACATCATTTCAGAGATTATGTTCTGAGGAGAGGGATGTTCTTGAAAGCCTTTCAAAGAGTATCTCTGTGTTGGGGTGGCTGTCCCCGTTCCTATACCCTCACATAGGTCTTCTGCTCAGAACAACCCTGGGGAGAGGGTCAAGGGCCCAAATTGCATTCCAAGCCCTTGTCACATACAGACCAGCCCAACCCTCTCCTTCTTCTGCTGTCTTACTTGGTGTAAAATGGCAGCCCACCATTCAAATATTACCATTATCACTTGGCTGCTCTGCTCCTCTCACTTCTTCTTGGGCCTCTTCTTCCTCAGACTCAGCTCCGCTGTCACTGCTCTCGGCTTTGCCATTGACAGTTTTGGCATTTGGAGTAGAAGTGAGAACATTACCAAGATCTAAAATATGAAATGGTCACTTAGTCTCTCCAGCGAGAACATACAACAGTGTCATGATTCCAAATAGTAATTGAATTTTAAAATAATAAAATACATACAATAATTTTGAATTAAATGCTAGAATTTTGATGATAGCACTTAATTTTTCTATAAACACATGTTCAGTGCAGATACATTACATCAATGATCAGTTTACAACAAAATTGAGAAAGTGGTTAAACTGTTTCTGAACAAGGCAGAGGATAAGCTTTTTAAAGTTAAAGTTAGAATAATAAAGTCAAAGGAAAGGCTCGAGTGATAGTACAGCGAGTAGGGCATTTGCCTTGCATGTGGCCAACCCGGGTTCAATTCCCAGTATCCTATATGGTCCCCTGAGTACTGCCAAGAGTAATTCCTGAGTGCAAAGCCAGGAGTAACCCCTGTGCACTTCTGGGTGTGGCCCTAAAAGCAAAGAAAAAAATAAAAATTAAAGAAAAAAATAAAGTCGATGGAGGATGGTCTTTATACATGGTAAATGAGGAGACAGCTGCTCTGTACTGGCATGCTGTAATAGAAAAATATTTTTGCACCAAGCAAACAGCTCATCAATAGTATAGCTGGACTATATTAACTTCAAAGATCTTTTATTTTCTTTGGGAATTCAGGTTCACAACTTACATTATGTTTTTTCTTTTAAAAACATAAGTCTGGGGCCAGAGTGATAATAGAGCAGGGCGGGTTGCTTGCCTTGCATGTGGCCAACTGGGTTTAATCCCCAGTAGACCATATGGTCCCCTGAGCCCCACCAGAAGGATTCCTATGCACAGAGCCAGGAATAAGCTGTGAACACTGCTGGGTATGGCCCAAAAAGCAAAACCAGAAAAACAATTTTTTAAAAAAATCAGTTAACTAGATCTACTAAAGTAAATTCTACTACCCAAAGTCCTATATTTACTTATTTATTTATTCATTTATTGTTTTTGGACCCACTTGGCTATGCTCAAGACTTACTCCTGGCACTGAAGTGAGGGATCACTCCTGTCTGCCTTAGGGGACCAGAAGGGGTGCTGAATATTGAACCCAGATTGGCCACATGCAAGGCAAGATATACTATCACTCCATGTCCTCAACACTCTCTCATGATAATAAAGTGGAAGAAATTACAATAGAATTTCTCAATCTGATGAAGGACATCTATGAAAACTTACAACTAGAAGCAGATTTCAAATTAGTGAAAACAGTATTCCCAAGATAAGGAACATGACACAGATATTTGCTTTTGCTGTCTTTATTTAATATTGTACCAGAAATTCTAGCCAGGTCATTAAACAAGAAAAAGGGTCTTTTTCTTGTTTGGAAAAGAAGAAATACACAACCTGTCTTCAGATGATATGCTCTTATATCTAGAAAATATTGTTATCTACAATTTTTTAGAACTAATAAATGGCAGGCTGGAGAGATAGTACAGAGGGCAGGACACTTGCCTCGCACACAACTTACCTCAGTTCCATCCTTGGCATCTCATATGGTCCCCCAATTCCCACCAGGAGTGATCAATGAGTGCAGAGCCAGGAGTAACCCCTGAGCATCGCCAGGTGTGCCTCCTGCCCCAGAACCCCCCAAAACTATTAAAGAGCTTAGAAAGGTTGCAGAATATAAGATCAATATCCAAAATTTAATCATATTCCTAAAAGCTAACAATAATTCTAAAAATTAAGTCACTGTCACTGTCCTCCCGTTGTTCATCGATTTGCTCGAGCGGGCCCAGTAGCGTCTCCATTGTGAGACTTCTTGTTACTGTGTTTGGCATATTGAATACTCTCAATAGCTTGCCAGGCTCTCTGAGAGGGGCGAAGGAACCAAACCCGGCTTGGCCGGGCTGGCTGCGTGCAAGGCAAAAGCCCTACCACTGTGCTATCACTCCAGCCCTCTAAATTTAATCTAAAAATTTAATCTAAAAATTAAATTAGAAAATAATTCAATTCATAACAGCAGCAAAAATATAAAATACCTAGCAATACATTTGATAAAAGAAAATACAAAAATTATACTGTGAAGAGTTGAAGAGATAGTACAGTGGGTACGGAATTTGCATTGCACGTGGCTGACCTGGGTTCAATCCCCAGCATTCCAAATGGTGCCCTGAGCACTGCCAGGAGTCATTCTGCTTCCTGAGTCAGGAATAATCCCTAAGCATCACTGGGTGTGGTCCCCAAACAAACAAATTATATTGTACAAGGGTTAGAGAGATAGTACAGGTTACGGAATTTGTCTTTCTATGTGCCCAACCCTGATTTGATCCAGGGCACCATATATGGTCCACTAAGGACCACCAGGAATTATTCCTGACCGCAGAGCCAGGAGTAAGCTCAGAGAACCACAGGTGGGACCCAACTCTTCCTCTAGGATTATATTATGCAAACAACATTGATATGGGGGATAGGAGAGGGGGTTGAGGAGGAAGGAGGCTAAGCATGGAACCGTGGACCCCACACACACAAGGCATTTGTGTAGTCTACCACTAAGCAACAAATAACATCACTGCAAATAACACTGTTGAAATCAAAGCTCTAAGTAAATGGAACACAATACAGATGCAATGAGAATACCAATTCTGCTGCAATCCCGTGTCAAGCACTGGAGTTTTCTGCAAAAATTCACAAGTAAAGTCCAATCCTGACTGTAGCACCCCCCCCCCCCCCCCCCACCACCACCACCACATTGCTGAGAATAAGCCTGGGACCACAACAAAATATGTGATCTCTGATGCACTTCAACCAGGTGTGTGACCCCTGACCAGCACCATTACCAAAGGCACACAGGACAAAGCATTCACAGAGCTGAGGTGTGCCAACACCACAACCAAATGTCAGACACTGCCTCTGAGTGTCTGGGCACTGAGACTGAGACTACAGAAACAACAAATGGAAGAGAAATTTTTTTTTATAAATTTAAATGGAATAAGGAAATACCTAGGAGAATAAGTCGACATTTAAAAACTGAACAGAGGCCAGAGAGATGGTACAGTAGGTTAGGTGCTTGTCTTGCACGTGGCTGACCTAGGTTCAATCCCCAGCATCCCATATCATCCCCTGAGCACTGCCAGGAGTGATTCCTGAGTGTAGAGCCGGGAGTAACCCCTAAGCATCGTTGGGTGTGGGTCAAAAACAAACAAAAAATTAATATAAAACTAACAAGCTGAGCGATAGCAGGGCTGGAGTGATAGCACAGCGGGTAGGGCGTCTGCCTTGCACGCAGCCAACATGGCCGACCCGAGTTCGATTCCTCCGCCCCTCCCGGAGAGCCCGGCAAGCTACCGAGAGTATTCGATATGCCAGACACAGTAACAACAAAGTCTCCAATGGAGATGTTACTGGGCCCGCTCGAGCAAATTGACGATCAACGGGAGGGCCTTTCGAGCAACAAGCTAATTAATTTCTATGAAAATGAAAGGGGTCCAGAATAATCAAAATAACTTGGGGGTGGGAAGGGGGGAGTAAGCTGGAGAGCTTAGGAAGTTCCTGATTTCTAAACCTATCATAATCTTGAAAAAGAACAAATCTCATACTTTTGATTTTAAAACTTACTAAATATGTACCTTCTGAAAATGCCCATGTGACACAGATATCTCTTGTATTTAGTGTAACAGGCTACTTTAAACAAGAAGTCTTGTTTAAAAGAAAGTCAAAATTACAAACTCTCTGCACTTTGGCAGTATCTTAACAAAAGTCTGAACCTCCACAGCCTACAATGTAGCAATGGGCCTCTAGCGTTCTTTCTTTGTGGGCCCCAGGAGTGGAGCTCAGGAGGCCCATGTGTGCTATTTGTGCAACAGGGCATACCAGTCCACTGTTCAGCCTGGTGATGCCACATGCTCAGGGCCACCAGGACTACTTGGCAGTGCTGAGAACCCACCAGGGCCACACCCAGTGGTGCCTAGTATCCCACTGGACTAGATCCGGGAGTGGCCAGGGATCTCTGCCAGGGCAGAGATGATGCTCCTGCATCTAAGGCAAGAGCCCTAAGGTGCCATCCTGCCCCCTAATATTATTTCTTACAGACATTACAGTTCCACACATGCAAAGTGGCATTTGCCACTCTCAGCAGAATTTTTTTTTTGTCACACCTGGCGATGCACAGGGGTTACTCCTGGCTCTGCACTCAGGAATTACCCCTGGCGGTGCTCAGGGAACCATATGGGATGCTGGGAATCGAACCCGGTTTGGCCGTGTACAAGGCAAACGCCCCACCCGCTGTGCTATTGTTCCAGCCCCTCTCAGCAGAATTGTTTTTAAGAAACAGAAAAAGAAACAACTTAAATGTTCACTTAAACAGCATGAATTTGGGCTACAGAGATAGTATGGGGGCTAAGACACTTGGCTCGGGGCTCAGAGAGATAAGACAGACCACAGAGCACTTTCCATGCACAAGGCTGACCCCTGGCACTGCTATGGTTCCCCACGTTCCAGCAGGAGTGATCCCTGAGCACACAGCCAGGAATAAGCCCTAAGCATTGCTGGGTGTGACCCAGTCTTTCCCCGCACCTACACACACATGCACACACGTGCACACACACACACACACCCTAACACACATATATACACACACATACATACACACATATACACACACTAACACAGACACACTAACAACACACACACACACACACACAGTGCTTGTCTTTCCTGTAGTCAACCCCAATTTGATTCTCCCAGCACTGCATATGGTTCCCTAAGCACAGCCAGAGGTCACTCCTGAGTTTAAAAAAAAGGAAAAAGAAAAAAAGGAAAGGAAGAGAAGAAAGTGGAAGGGAGGGAGGAAAAGGAAGAAAGAATGTTGTGGATAAGACATTTGCCTTGCAAGCTGCCAACCTAGGTTCTATTCCAAACACCCCATATGGTCTCCAAAGCACTGCCAGAACCTCTGAGTGCAGAGCCAAAAGTAAGCCCTGAGCACTGTTAGGTAAGGCCAGCCCCCCCACTCGCCCCCCCGAAAGAAAACAAAAAGAAAGCAGAAAGATGAAAGATTACTGTTCTCAAACACTGTGCAAAATCTGTTATAAAAGAAAACCTGTAAACAGAAATACCAGGGGGAAAAAAGTGACATGAAGTGTTTGGGTTTGTTTTTGTTTTTTTTCTTTTCCCTTTTTGGGTCACAACTGGTGATGCTCAGATGTTATTCCTGGCAGAGTGCAGAAAACACTCAGAAATTTCTCCTGATAGTGCTCGGGGGACCATATGGCATGTCTCACATCAAACCCGGGTTGGCCTTGTGCAAGGCAAGTGCTCCATCCTCTCTACTATCCCTCTGGCCCTGATGCCAAGTTGTTTTCTGTTTTGTTTGTTTTGGGGCCACAGTTGCAGTGCTGACGGGCTATTCCTGGCTCTGTGCTCACAAGTGTGATCCCTGGCAGTGCCCGGGGGATGATAAGAGACACCAGGAAATTAACCAGCATTGGCAGGGCTACTAGGCAAATGTCTTAATTCCTGTACTACCTGTCTGACCCCTATTTTTTTTAAACCACGTGTAGTTTTTATCAAGTTATTCCTGTAGGCTTACAATTTTATAGTTAACCAAATAATGATATATCTATTTTAAAACTTGTTAGAGGCCAGGGAGATGGCGCAAGGGACTGCAGCACATTGCTTTGCACACTGGAGGACAGGGGGTGCTCCCCAGCTTGGCTGGTCCCCAAGCACTGCCGAGAGCGACCCCCAAATACTGTGCTCAGAGACAGCGCAAAGGGCTGGCTTAGCTCCCCAGCACCCTTGGTCCCCCAGGCACTGCAAAGAAGGGCTTCTTAGCATTACCAAATGTCCCCAAACAATAAACAGACAAGGCCAGAGAGATAGTACAGTGGCGAAAGGGTTTGCCTTGTCAATCGCTGACCCAGGATCGATCACTGGCACCACAGAAGACTCCCGAACCCTACCAGGAGTAAGCCCTGAATGCAGAGCTAGGAGTGAGCCCTGAGCACTACCAGTATCACTCCAACAACAAAGTAAATAAGATGGAAAGGGTTATATTTTTTAATGTTATCTGTTGCTTGCTTAGAAAAAAAAGAATTTGAGGGGTGTGGCGCCATACCTGGCAGTGCTCAAGGGTCAGTCCTGGCTCTGTGCTCAGGGGTCATAGGTCATACCTGGTGGTGTTTGGGAACCATAAGTGGCAGTGGGGATTTGAACCAGATGCATGGCCATCGCTCCATGCAAGGTAAGTGTCTCTACTATCTCTCCGGCCCCAGAATGAAAACCCCTGAGAGGTCAGCTATTCTATATTTGTGCAGAACTCCTTCAGCACTTAATTTTTTATAAAAATTTCATATGGATTTTATTGTTCCTACCTTCTAAGTATTTAGAAATTTTCTCCAATCGGACTAGCATGTGAAAGAAAAAAAATAGATATATAAACAAAAATTCATGCATATATATCAACTGTTGAATTTAAAAAAAAAAGGTAAAGTCATCAAACCTGAAGTCAAATCAGGACTTCTCCCACTCTTTTTATCCTCTACAATTTCATAAAATGGACCTATGACATGCAGCAATTCTTCAACTTTCTCAGTCATTGGCATAGTTTCAAGAATCTGTAATTGAAAGGAACAAATCTTGTAAAATCATAAACTATTTTATCTATGATAGTATAAAATGATATTTTCCCAGCTTCTTTTTGTTGACTTGTTTCTGGGTCACACCTGGTGCTCAGGACTTACTCCTGGCTCTGTGATCAAGAATTATGCTTGGCGATGCTCAGAGGACCATATGGGATGCTGGGGATTGAGCCCAGGTCGGCCAGATGCAAGGCAAATCCCCAACCCACTGTACTATCACTCTGGCTCTAAATTACCACAATTTGAAAAAGTTAAAAACTTAATAATCAAGTGCAAAAAAAAAAAAGATTAGTCAAATTGGAAGGTGTGGGAGACTGGGACACAGCCAGAAGTACTCAGGGCTTATCCGTGGCTCTGTGCTCAGGGATCACTCATGGTGGTGCTCAGAAAACCCTTGTGTAGTGCTGTGGATCCAACCCTGGTCCAGCCTCACCCAAGGCAAGCGCCTTATCTCCTGCATTATTGTCCCACCCAAATCAAAATTTTAATCTACAGAAATTCTAATATCCATATTGAACCAAGGACCTATCATATCTCTCAGGCCCCTCTCCCTCCCATGTTATTTATTTTTGGCTTGGGGGCCACATCTGGCAGTACTTAGGGGTTATTCCTGCCTCTGCACTCAGGGATCATTCTTCACAGGGACAATATGGGGTGCCCAGGACTGAACCAAGTTCAGCCACATTCCAGGCAAGTGTCCTTCTTGCCGTATTCTTATCTTTCCAGCCCAGGCTTCTCTCCCATTTTACTATTTCATTTCTTTTATCATCATTTGTTCTTTATAGTTTTGTTTTAAACATGTACAAGATCAAACATCCCTGACTTCTGCAATTAGGTACAGTTAAGAAACAACTTTATTTTTAAGTAGGGGCAATGACTCCTTCCCATTTTAAACCATGATTGTGAAATTCTGTGAGGAAAATAGGTATATTTATTTTACTCACTGTGTCAATTCAGCGGGTAGGGCGTTCGCCTTACAAGCGGCCAACATGGCCGACCCGAGTTCGATTCCTCCGCCCCTCTCGGAGAGCCCGGCAAGCTACCGAGAGTATTCGATATGCCAGACACAGTAACAACAAAGTCTCCAATGGAGACGTTACTGGGCCCGCTCGAGCAAATCGACGATCAACGGGAGGGCCTTTACCTTTTTACCTTACCACTGTGTCAATTCAACTTTGCATTATAAAAGTGTGTCCTAAAAACTGTAATAATACTTAAAAACTAGAAGTAGAAATAAGATCAAAAGGGCTTGAGAAACTATTTCTACTACTGAAAGGCTCCATTTTGTTTTACTGTGCTATTGATACAGCTAGCAAAGAGAATTGAACTTTGACTTTGTTATGGGTAAACAACGCTCACTAAATAAAAATTACAAAAATGTGACAAAGGGCACAACTTTGAGCAGGTTATAAGACACAAAAATAAATCAACAACGAAAGTCTAGTCAGAATATAACAGATTACAATAAATACTGCTACATTAAACCATCTAGCATAAAACCATCAATTTCTTCTGTTCAGACTTAATTTACCTAAGATTATCATATTGACCCAGAGTTTATAACTTCTGATCTCCAACATAAAAATGCTTTTAGGGGCCAGAGTGATAGTCCAACAAGTGGCTAACCTGGTTTTGATCCCCGCACCCCATATGGTTCCCTGAGCCCCACCAGGAGTGATCCTTGAATGCAGAGCCAGGAGTAAGCCCTGAGTACCGAAAAAAAAATAAATAAAAAATCCTTTTAGAAATGCACTAAGATCATCATAAAAAAAATCTATGATTTTGGGACTAAAGAAATCAGTACAGGGAACAGGGTGCTTGCCTTGAACTCAGTTGAGCCAGATTCAATCCCCAGCTCCTCTGAGCACCGTTAGGAGTGATTCCTGAGTGCAGAGCCAAGAGTAACATTGCAGAACCAAGAATAACCCGTAAGGCCATATGTGTGTGTGTGTGTGTGTGTGTGTGTGTGTGTGTGTGTGTTTGCTCCTCAAATGATCCTTTGAAATAACTTAAAAGATCAATAAGGAATATCTTCCAGGGAAACCAAAAGCATTCTCATTCAATGTTCTAAAGCAAAACCGCTTTTTTTTTTTTTTTTGCAAAAACACTTCTCATACAGTGTAGATACTTGACAGATTCCAAGTAGGAAATGTCAATGTTTCAAAATAATCTTATTTCTATACTTCTTGCAAAAGTTAACAAAGATAGGGAAGATGATCTTAACATTGAGGTTAACATTTATGCTGCGATGTTGATAAGACAAAGTCCTAGTATATACAATAATCTAGATTATACACACAGTACAATTCCCTTGTTTCTTAAAGCTAATGTGTCTTATAAGATGAAATTAGAGATGCTTTAAATGTTTTAATTTTTAAAAAATTATTTTTGGGTACCTTTTTCATCTCTTCAACATATGCAATCATGGCCTCCTCTTTGGTCATGTCACCCAATGAACTCCAAGCATCCCTAGAAATAAAACAGCACCAATAACAACTTAAAAAACCTGATTTTTCTTTGCAATTTTATGGTTTTATTAACATAACATCATACGCCCAACAACTGTCTATTCATTTTCTTCACTAAAATACATGATCTTCAATTGCTCAGTATACAATTTACATGCTACAGGGTAATTTTTTTTTTTACAGGGTAATTACTTTTAACAGGATCCATTTCTATGTTTTTAAAGGATTGCTTTAACTATACCAACTTAAAGTGGGGACAGATATAGTATAGCAGGTAGGGTGCTTGCCTTGCACATGCCTGACCAGGGTTCAATCCCTAGCACCCCATGTGGTCCCTGAGTATAGAGCCAAGTCAGCCCCAAGAATTTCCAGGCAGGGACTGGAGCAATAGCACAGCGGGTAGGGTGTTTGCCTTGCATGCAGCCGACCCAGGTTCGATTCCCAGCATCCCATATGGTCCCCTGAGCACCACCAGGAGTAATTCCTGAGTGCATGAGCCAGGAGTAACCCCTGTGCAAAACCGGATGTGACCCAAAAAGCAAGAAAATTGCCAGGCATGGCCCAAAAATCAAGTAAGCAAATAAAAACACCAGCTTATATTAAAATGAATAAACTGGTAAATTAATTGGCATTTAAAATGAGTAAGGGACTGGAGAGATAACTAAGGGTTGAGTGGGCTTTACAATGAAGGCAGCTCAGGTTTGTTCATAAATATCCAAGAGCTCTTTAAGAGTTTTGTTGTTTGTTTATTTCGGAGCTACAGCTGGCCCTGACTCTACACACAGAGATCACTCCTCACAGGCTCAGGGGACCATATGAGGTGCCAGAGTTCGAACCAAGGTCAGACATGTGCAAGGCAAGCGCCTTACTACCCCTCTGATCCTAAAACTTTCTAAGTCATTATAAAGACCAGTAACAGAAATGAACATGTTAAAAGACTGAATGAAGGAAAAGTTTGCATGAATTTTGGGGACCAGATTAAAATGTGTGACATTTGCCAAGTCTTCAACAGTGTTTGTGGCACAGGATGGGGTGGGGAAGGGGAGTGGGGCATGTTAGTTTCCACACCTGGTGGTGCTCAGGGGCCATCAGAGTGAGACCTGGTAGTGTTCATGGGACCACAGCTCGTGCCTGGGATTGAACTAGTGTCAGCTGCAGGCAAGGCCAGTGTTTTAAGTCTTGCACTATCTCCACAGCCCTCCAACAGTATTTTTTTAAAAAATCATACATTAGGCAATTGGGAAAATGGCAAAGGTGTCTCTGAATCATTGATCCTTTCAATTATGTAATAAATCAAATTTTTAGGCCAGAGAGGTCAAGTGCAGGTTTGCATGCAGAAGTTAGGGTTCTATCCCCAGCACCCAGGAGCACTGCAGGAATGATCCCCAAAACATAGAGCCAGGAGTAACTCCTGAGCACTGACCAGTGTGGACCCAAAACAAAACAAACAAAATCAAATTTCTCTTCAGGTACAGTGGGCCAGGAGTGACATAGGTCAAAGTTAACATGGCAGTCCCTGTGTTAAGACCCTTGTTCCTAATTATCTTTAAACTCAAAGCAAACAATGTCATTTGAAAAGCATGAGTCAATAAAAGAGGGACAGGAGTTGGGTTTTTTTTTATTTATTTATTTTTTTTGTAACTTACTTCAGAGATTCCAGGCATAAAAAGAAAAAAAAAATTTGTAAGAGACTGAAAACATTTGACATTACTTTAACCCCCTTTTGGCTATTCCTGTTAGCTGTAGGGGACACCCCCAGCAGTGCTCCTGGGTGCCCGGGGACCCTAACATGCTCAGGATGGAAGCTAAGTTCAGGAAAGGCACATGTTCTACCACTAACACCATATCCCTTAGCTCATCTCCTTTTTTTTGTTCGTTTTTGGTTTGTTATTGGGTCACACTTGATGGTGCTTAGCGCTTAATCCTGGCTCTGTGCCATGGATCATGGATTTGTGTGAAATTGTGTTAAGATATGTGGGGAATAAACATTGTATAAAGTATCTAGAACACTTTATGCACAGAATAACACAGAAACACATAAGCATCACATAATCATGCCATTAAAATGAGTCTTTCAGCACTCACTGTATAAAATTACCATTTATATCTTCCAATGGGATCCCAGAATCCAGGCCGTGAAAGTTTACAGGGTCCTTCTGTGGCCTGTTTATAAAAGCTATAGAACTTGAGCATCATTTCATTTGTTGGCTGGAATGAACCTATTAGAAACATACATTACAGATCACTTGGAGCACATAATTGAGCTAAGATATAAATTGGCTTAGGTATATTAACAGGAATCTTTAAATGTTTCATTAAAACATTTAATTAAATTTAAATTTTATTAAACGTTCAGAAGATTATTTCTATTTTACAAAAGCAAAGGCTACCAAGGTACGGTAAAATAAAGTTTCACTGTATTTTTGGAGAAGAAAAAGAATCTATGTCTCTATAAGTTTCTTTACTCCTTTAATTTTATGAACCTTTGGGATTTTATATTTATTTACATTTAATTAATTAACCAGTAAATTAAAATATTTTCATTTCTTTCATTTTCTTTTCCTTCTTTTTTTTTGAAGGGGGGTTTGGGACCACAGCTGGTAGTGTGTTCAGGTCCTCTGCACTCAGGGATTAATTACTGATGTGGGTGCTCTGGGGACCATATGAGGTGTCAGGGATCAAGCCCTGGTGGACCTTGTGCAAGGCAAGTGCCTGTCCACTGTAGTATTGCTTGGGTCTCAACTATTTTTATTTTTTTGAATGTCCAAGTTTTAAGAGCAAGTACTGTTAGGTTGTACTACACCTAATACCCGGGAAGAAACCTGAAATGACTGGTTTGTAATAGACTATTGGCTAAATAAAATGACATAAATGTGCAATAGGATAATTTATTGCTAGAACCACTAAAATTGTAGAAAAATGCTAAAAAGTGGTAAGATAAGTCTCATCATCTATTTTGGTTTTTGTTTTGGGGCCACACCTGGTGGTGCTCAGAGCTTACTCCTGGCGCTGCACTCAGGGATCATTCCTGGTGGGCTCAGGGAAGCATATGTGTGCCACGGATCAAACCCAGGTCAGTCATATGTGATGCCCCCCTCCCGCTGTATTACTGCTCCAGCCCTTCAAAATCTATTAGTTAAAAAAAAAAGTTGTTTAAACTGCATATCCAATACAAACCACCTTGCAAATTGTTTCCAGTCACAAAAAGTACAGTAGAAGGATACACAGAAAATGTTATAAGTGGGACTGGCAGTGTGGCTCAGCGAGGTGAAGAATGGGCCTGGGTTCAGCCTCCAACACCACACACACGAAAAAAGCTGAAAGAGAATAAATCCCTGGATAATAAGCACACAGGTATTATTGTTCTTTTTCCTTATTTGTATTTTTTTTTTAAATCTGTTTCCAGGTCAGATAGATAGCACAGTGAGTATGGCACTTACCTTGTGAGTGGCTGACCCCAGAGGGTTCTAGGCCCATATGGTCCACTAAGCACTTGGAGGAAGGGCCTATAAGCCAGGACTAAGCCCTGAGCCTAGCTGGGTATGGCCCCAAAACAAACAAAAAGACCAAAAGTATTTCAAAAATCTTATAGGACTAGATAGAGAGCTCAAAAGCCCAAGCTCATGCTATGCATGCTCCCTGGTCAATGGACCACTGCATAGAATGGGGCTCGGAGGGCTGGAGCGATAGCACAGCGGGTAGGGCATTTGCCTTGCACGCGACCAACTTGGGTTTGATTCCCAGCATCCCATATAGTCCCCTGAGCACTGCCAGGAGTGATTCCTGAGTGCAGAGCCAGGAGTAACCCCTGAGCATCGCTGGTTGAGATCCAAAAAGCAAAAAAAAAAAAAAAAAAAAAAAAAAAAAACAACTCTCGGAGAGCCGGCAAGCTACCAAGAGTATCTCACCCACACGGCAAAGCCTGGCAAGCTACCTGAGACATATTTGATATACCAAACACAGTAACAACAAGTCTCATGATGGAGACGTTCCTGGGACCGCTCGAGCAAATCGATGAACAACGGGAGGACAGTGCTACAAGAGTCGGGAGTAGCTCCCAGCACGGCCAGGTGAGGCTCAAAGTCAAAAATCAATTTGAAACTTTTACATTCAATGTGAAGCAAGCAGGCAGTTAGATAGGGAAAGGTCCCCCACAGCACGGAATTCCTGGGAAGGAATAAAACCAGTAGCCCAGAGGCTGCAAAAACCTACCTTATGGACACAGGAACTAATGCCTGATAAGAACTTTACCTGGCACCCGCACAGACCCAGAGAAGGCTGGACCCCCTCTGAGAGAAAGTCCAGCACGAGCAAAGGTGAGGAAAGGAATATCAAAGAAGACCATCAACTACGCCCAACTCTACCATCCTAACAGGGGATTCTTACCTAGGCAGAAAGTCCCGTGTGGGGCAATACAGAAGGAACCCTTTTTTTTTTTTTGCTTTTTTTGGGTCACACCTGGCAATGCTCAGGAGTTACTCCTGGCTCTGCATTCAGAAATTACTCCTGGTGGTGCTTAGGGGAGCATATGTGATACCGGGGATAGAACTCAGGTCGGCTGCGTGCAAGGCAAACAACCCTACCCACTGTGCTATCACTCCAGTTCCAGGAGAGACCCTTTAAAAGGTAGCTTGAACAAATGAAGCATGCACATATGCTGCCAGAACCTATGTGCTGCTTGCACTATGTATGTCATGGCTAATGGGTTTGGTGCCTGAGCACATGTGCACGTGTGCCACCCACATCTCCCTATCTCCCCTCTAAAGATGTGTACTTTCATATATAATGCTGGGATGTGTACTGGGGCTCTCTCTAATTTGGAGAAGCCTTATTCTCTCCTCCTGATCGTGTGTTCTTCCTCCTTCCCTCTCTCTTCCTCTTTTTTTTTTTTTTTTTTGCTCTTTTGAGTCACACCCGGCGATGCACAGGGGTTATTCCTGACTCTGCACTCAGGAGTTACTCCTGGCGGTGCTCATGGGACCATATGACATGCTGGGAATCGAACCTGGTTCGGCCGTGTGCAAGGCAAACGCCCTACCCACTGTGCTATCTCTCCAGCCCCACTTCCTCTCTCTCTAGTTCTCTCTCTCCCGCTCTCTTCCTCTCCTCTCTCTCTCACAGACACACACACACACCCCTCTTCCTCAAAACCCCCAAAATAAAATCTGAAATCTGTTATACGTCACTGCTCATCTTCTCCTGAAATTCTTTTTTTTTTTTTTTTTTTTTTTTTTTTTTTTTTTGCTTTTTGGGTCATACCCAGCGATGCACAGAGGTTACTCCTGGCTTTGCACTCAGGAATTACTCCTGGTGGTAATGCTCAGGGGATATGGGATGCTAGGAATCGAACCCGGGTCAGCAAACGCAAGGCAAGTGCCATACCTGCCGTGCTATCGCTCCAGTCCCCTCTCCTGAAATTCTTTTCTGAGATAAAGGCAAGATCCTGAAAGACCTGGGAAAGGTCTGGAAGTGACTTTCCTTTCCTGCAAGAAACGAGGCTCACTGATTTCCCCAGAGGTGGATTGCCACTTCACATAAGTCAGTCGGGAGCCAACTGGCATTGAGTTTATATTATTTTTATACCAAATTAATATAAAATTTAGAACTGCCAAAAAACTTAATAAAAATGTTTACAGATTACATAATAATTTTTAATAATCAAAAGCTAGTTTATAAATGTGAAGATTACAACACAGACAAGCTGAGAGCTGGTGTTTCAGGTTTGACCAAGAATTCCAAAACCACAATAATAATTATCTAATAACATAAATGCTAGTTTAGGAGTATCTATCAGATAAAATCTTTCAATGATACAGTTCTTATTTATAGAGAAGAAAAAATGAGAAAAAAAACTTATTACTTAACACAAATCTAAATTTTAAAAAACTGAAAATTTCCTATCAGTAAATCCATCAAGTATATTTAAAAGTAGGGCGAGAGAGCTATTACAGCGGGTTAAGCACTTGTCTTGCACAAAACTGAATGCGTTTGATACCCCAGCACCCCAGATAGTCCTCCCAGTCCACCAGGAGGGATCCCTGAGCACAGAGCCAGAATTAAGCCCTGAGCATGACTGGGTATGTGCCTACCCCCGCCCACCCCCCCACCCACCAAAAAAAGTTTATTAGTTAGGGTGAATGATATATACTATAATAAGTTATTGCAAAAATTTAAAACAAATTGAATTTGTTCATATACAAGGCAAAGGGTAAAGTAGAATCTCTGTTCTTAAATTGTTCATGCAATTCTAAAGACCAAGTGCATGATGAATAGATACTAATAGGATTCACTACTATCTTATACCTTAAGTAAAAAATAAGCAACAAGGAACGATCAAAGTCTTTACAAAACAATCCAGGGCAGGTCAAATAATATCAAAGTTCATTATAACAATACTGCTTGCCTTAGTATCAGTTTAGTTTCAGGAATAAAAGGATACTGAGTGATTATTCAATATAGGTGTCATTTGGCAGGGAAACATCTTTTATTTGGAAGGGATGGCAGGGGCACATACCTGGTAGTCTCAGGAACTGCTGGTGCTCAAGAACCCATATGCAGAGCCCGGATCAAACTCTCTATAAGCAAGGTAGACACCTAACTCCTGTACTCGCTCTCCAGCCTTAACCAGGGAATCTCACTATTGAAACACCTTCTCAAATATTATATAAATCTAAACTGTATTTACATTATATGGGTTTCTTATTTCAAAATGTCCCAAAAAGGTAGTACATGAGACAAAGTCTGTCAATTTTCAAAAATATCTAAGAAAGTGTAGTTTAGGACAAAGGATAAATGTACAACTTACGTGAAATTATTAAAATCACATTTTCTATGAGCTCTATAAACAGAGCATTAAAAAATCACTATGAGGGCCTGGAGCCTGTTCGTATTCCCACCACTGCATGCCCCCTGAGGCGTAGCCTGATAGCCCCCCAAGAAGCAGGGGTCTATGTACCCTAGCAGCTGTAACCAGGTATGCCAGGTGTGACCTCAACAACAACAAATAGATAGCTAAATAAATTATTATTTCAGGATATTTTGTTGATTCATTCTTATCAGCTAATCCCCTCTATGTCCACAAGACCATGTCTGAAATTAAACTGAATACTATTTTGTGCACACTGGTTTACAAAACCCCTTTAATCTGCACTGAATATATTTTTGTTGAATGGGATTGAAAAATTATTACCTAGTCTCAGCACATTTTTGGGGCCACACTAAGCTGTGCTTAGGGTTTATTCCTGGCTCTGTGCTCAGGGATTCCTCCTGGGGGGCTTGGGAACCCATATGTGGTGCCAGAGATCCAACCCAGGTCTGGCACAGTATTATCCGCTGTATTTTCTTTACAGTGACATTACTTTGGTCAACTTATTATTAATAGAAATAGAAAACATGATATTAAGTACTATCTTATATATTTGTATACTTAATGTCTAATGATGTCACAAAAAATTACAAGATGCCACAAAAATAATATTTAAGAGAATCATTTAAAAAACACACGTTGGGGTTCAGAGATAATAAAGAGGGCAAGGCACTTGTCTTGCATGCAGCCAATGAGGATTCCAACCCTGGCCCCTTATTCCCTGAGCACTACCAAGAATGATCCCTGAGCACAGAACTAGGAATAAGCCCTGAGTCCCATAGAGGTATGGCACAAAACACAAAGTTAAACACCACCACAAAACATGCTTACTGCAAAAAATAATTCAGATAATGAATAAAAGTATAAGGAGAAAATAAAAAATCACGGTCTCTATGGGCTGGAGCCATAGCACAGCAGGGAGGGCATTTACCTTGCATGTGGCAGACCCAGGTTCAATCCCCGGCACCCACTAAAGGTCCTGTTAGCCTGCCAGGAGTGATCCCTGAGTAGATACAGGCATAAGCCCTGAGCACAGTCAAGAATGCAACCCCCCCACAAAAAAAGTAGACATAAAATGTCACCTTCTCCAAGTGTCTATAGAAAAAAAATTGAATAACTGCTTTAAACATTGTTCAAAAATTTAAACTTAACTACAAATTTTTAAATTTCTGCAAAACCCTACCGGGCCATGCACAAAGACCACAGCTAAACACATCTTACTCTAATTGCTGAAAGCTGAAGGTAAAGAGAAACAACTCATAAGTAGCCAGAGAAATGACACATTAAATATGAGAACAGCTCATGACTTCCCCTCTACCCCCAGAGCTGCAGAGAGTTCAGTATAAAAAAAGAAAACACCAGCACAACAGAATATCTGCCTTATAAATACCACATGCATGCATATATATATATATATATATATATATATATATTAAGTTTCTTTTTTTTTAACAAATGAATATTATTGTTCTTCATACTGGTCTCTTCAAATCAAAAGTTTTCAAACGACCGGAATAGCAGACTTTGTGAGTCTGCAGTACCAGCATTCCCATCCCGGGTTTATTTTTAACATACACAAATCCGCAGCCATCCAGTGGCAAGACCTGTTCTGAACAATACAATCGACTTAAAATCTGGATCATGGCTGTCTCCGGCTTGAAAGATCAGCAGGTAAGCAATTCACACTGGCCCCTTTGCCCTTCAATTACATTCCTCCAAACAAGGCAGAAGAAAAGGTGTTTCCCGGTTTTTCTGTTTTGTTTTGTTTTGTTTTAATGCCAGGCCAGAATCTGAGAGGTTCCAGGAGGTGAGACTTTAAACTGCGCCCACAGGCCTCCGTGCCAGGGCATCCTGCAGCCAGGGGATGGGCACCGCCACCTACCATTTTTCGGCAGACTCTGGATCACCTTCACCGCCGCCTCGAAGCGGGTCTGGTGCACCGACCCGGTCTCGGCCATGTCCAGCCGCCAGCGCCGGCCACAGGGCCACAGTCTGTGGGCGGGACTCAGGCGGCGGCGACGGCGGCAGCAGCGGCAGCACCAGCGTCCCCAGGAGCCTGCATGAAACTGGAACATGGAGCGCAGCCGCGGATCAACATGCCCGCGGGGAGGAGGCCCCGGGAGCACAGATGGTCAGTCCCCCCCATTGCCCTGCCCTCGAACCAGGCCACACGGACAAAGTGGCCAGGCAGCGTCCTCCTCCTCCTCCCCCCCCCCCCCCCACCCCGGGGCGGGACCGTGCCCGAGAAGCCGGACGCAGGCGACAACTCACCGAAAGGAAGTGCATTGCTAGCCCCGGGCGGAGGGGCTGGGACTGGAGGTGGGCGCCGAGCTGCTCTGCCCCCCGCAGGACCCCCGCAGAGCGACCACACCCCCCATCGCGCCGGGGTCTGTCTGTCAGTCCGAGCCTTCCCCCACGCCCCGCCCCAGAGCTGCCAGCCGCAGCCGGGTAGAAAACTCCACCCACCGCCGGCCCAGAACCCGGGGAGGATCGCGCCTTCACCTTAGGTCCCGAGTGCCAGGAAAGAAGATAAATGACAGGGGTCAGGGGACGACCGGTACACGCCTCCCTAGACCTCCCCCTGTTCGCCCCACCAAACCTCCAACCCCCTTTTCTTTTGCTGGGCCTCCAGGACGCAACGCATCTGCTCCGTGCCTGCTCCTGCCAGGCTCAATTTTGGTTTTGTTTTTCCCCAACAGGCCTGACCCAAGTGTCCTGGCCAGCGCAGGGCGATAAGCAGAGCAGTGCAGGGACGCGGGCATGGATGCACCTGAGCTTCAAGGCAGCGCGCTGCAACGGTTTGGTCGAGCAAAAAGTAAAGACTTGGAGGAGCGCCTCGGCAACCCTGCGCTGAGGTTCAAGGTCTGAGTTCGCGATGAAACAGCAACTGACTTCAGACGTGCCAAGTGCCAACCTTAAGCCCCGCCACCTAGGTCTGTGACCTGGGGCGCGGCACTTAACGTCTCTAGTGGCCGTCCCGTGGTGCCTCGGGCTTAAGAGGCCCCAAGCCAAAGGCGCTGGCCAAAGAATCGAAGGAGAGGGGAGGTCGCCCGCCACCCGACGGCGCCTGGAGCCTGGGGTTGGGCACCTGCCACTGCATCACCCCTAATACCGAGCCCTCCAGAGCAGGCCTGGGTTCAGTTCCCGAGTTCACAGGAGACAGGGCGTGGGGTGGGGGTGGGGGTGAAAAGGAGCTAACACCAACAATCAAGTCTACACCCGACACCCAGTGTCTTGGCCCCACATCCTCCAACATCCGGGAGGCGACCTCACGCGCCCCGTGGGGGCCCGGCTAAGGGCGGTGAGGATGGTTGGTCCTGGGGCCCGAAATCCCAAAGTTGCCAAGCGGCTTTTGGTCGGTTCGGGAAAGGTTAGCAGGGTTACTAGGATAAATCTAGGCGCGGACTAGAAGTTACTCTTCCCTCGGAGCCGCAGTGCCGGCATTTACCTTGGAATAGCCAGGCAAGGCCTGTCCGGTAATGTCCCTGACGCCCGCCCCTCGCCCTGCCCCGCGGGCTTGTGGGAAATGTAGTTCCCCCGCAGCGGCGCTTCCGGATTCCCCCCGCCAGCCGCGGCCGTTCCTTCCACCTGTTCCGGGGAGGGTTTTCGTGCCCGGCGTTCTGCGGTCCGCTCCAGACCTTGGGATCGGACACTCTCCGTCCTGGTGCGTCTTATACCATGCAAGACACCACGTCGGCTTCCACCAAAAGTGATACCGGGTGTCCAGAGGAGTAGCATAGGGGCGCAGGGTTTGAATCAGACAACTGAGATTTCGTGCCTTGCTCCTGCTGTGTGTGTATAAAAGCAGAGAGCACGGTTTTGAACCTTACCAGTTGCACAGTGCCTGGTGTTTCCCACGCGTGTGCTGCGTGTCACAAAACCGCAGTCGGGTGCTAACGAAGTCGGAAATTGAGACTGGAGGACCTACAAATTAGCCGAGGGCAGGCAGGAAATCAATTAAAACAACAAAACAATAACTTTTGCTCCGAGTCTTGGAGTTTTGCAGGGAACTAAAGTGATAGGGAAAACTTTGGAGTCGTAAAAAATTTCTGTTTCTTGAATTGGGTGCACATTGCTGCCAGGAGTCTGTTCGGTTTGTGACGCTGTTGAATGCATAACAAAGATTTTCTATTTTTCTCTGTGCATGTTATCCCACAACTGAATTAAGACCCATGCTTTTTCTAATCTACTCAAAATAGGAAGACTTCATGTGTTTCCTGTATATTGCTTTTCTACTGTTCTTGCTTTTTTTTTTTATTATATACTTTTCAATTCTAGTCCACTCAGACCTACAGATTTACAAAAGGATATGGATGTTTATTTCAGAGACATAATTTTTATAACTTCATATGTAACAAGCTCTAACGGTATGTTGGTCTGTAGGTAATGATGGTCAGAAGTTGTCTGCAAATGATTTCTGTTTAATTTTCTTTGCTAGTAGCACTGTAGCACTGTCCTCCCTTTGCTTATCTATTTGCTTGAGTGGGCCCAGTAACGGCTCCATTGCCACACTTGTTACTGTTTTTGGCATACACCACGGGGAGCTTGCCAGGCTTTGCCTCTGGACATATACTCTTGATAGCTTTCTAGAGCTTGCCAGGCTTTGCATCTGGGCATATACTCTTGGGCGCTTGTGGGAGCTTGCCAGGCTTTGCCCCTGGACATATACTCTTGGTAGCTTTCTAGAGCTTGCCAGGCTTTGCATCTGGGCATATACTCTTGGGCGCTTGTGGGAGCTTGCCAGGCTTTGCCTCTGGACATATACTCTTGGTAGCTTGCCAGCTCTCCGAGGGGGGGGGGGGAATTGAACTCAGGTTGGCCTGGTCGACAACGTGCAAGGCAAACGCTCTACCCGCTGTGCTATCACTCCAGCTTTGCTAGTAGAATGGACTTTCAATAAAGAAGTATGGCATAATAGGATAAATTGTCATCATCGTGATAAATGTATTTGTTTTATTTATTTTTGCTTTTTGGGTCACACCCAGCGATGCTCAGGGGTTATTCCTGGCTCTGCACTCAGGAATTACCCCTGGTGGTGCTTGGGGGACCGTATGGGACGCCGGGCATTGAACCCAGGTCAGCCATGTGCAAGGCAAACGCCCTACCCGCTGTGCTATTGCTCTGGCCCCATGATTTAAAAGTAGCTCTTTTCGGGTCCTGGAGAGATAGGACAGGCTGAAGTGTTTGCTTTACACCAGCATTGCCCACTATATGATTCAAAGCCAGGAAAGTGTGTGTGTATAAAAGCAAAGAGCACGGTTTTGAACCTTACCAGTTGCACTTCTGTATATGCCTCCTCCAAAAAACCCTGCCATTCTTTCATATAGCTGTGTTTATTTAGATAGAATAATGCCTGTTGAAATGTATGATGAAAATAATAAAACTCAAGGTGCCTTCTGATTATATGAACGCCTAATTTTAATTCTAAAATATATCTCAGAGAACACTATCAAGTGCCTTTTATTATTTTCAGTACAGTCGCCAATATGAAACATCCCTTTTAAAAAAATAAGATGATTTAGGATAAAACACTATTTTAAGGCTTACATGGTTTGACAGGAGTGTATATTATTAACATGGAAATGATAATAAATCGTGTACTTATACATAAAATACATGAGGGTTTTGATTTTCTTTTTGTTTTTCTGAAGGAGCTATTTGGGCCACATGTGACTGTGCTCCGAGATCACTCCTGGCAGGGCTCAAGGGAAAGCATGCATATGTGGTGTTGATGTTCTTGTGAAGTTCTGGGGATCAAACTGGGGTTGACTTCATGCAAGGCAATTGCCTTAAGTATCTCCACTGTATCACTGTCATCTTGTTGTTCATTGATTGCCTCGAGCAGGCCCCAGTAACATCTCCTTAGTCCTAGCCCTGAGATTTTAAAAAGTGCCACATTGGAGCCTCTTTCAGGGTCAGGAGAATGAGGCCCATCATTGTTACTGGTTTTTGGCATATTGAATACTCCATGGGGAGTTTGCCAGATTCTGCTGTGTGGGCAAGATACTTTTGGTAGCCTGCCAGGTTCTCCAGAGTAAGAACTAGATGATAAGTATCTCCCTGGTCACAAAATAAGAGCTGGAGGACCCTTCTGGACCAGGGAGCTAGCTGCAGTGGTAGCACTGCACTGCAGTCCTCTCATTGTTCATCAACAACAGCAACAGTAATGTCTCCATTGTGAGACTTGTTGTTACTGTTTTTGGAATATCCATTATGACACAGGGAGCTTGCCAGGCTCTACCGTGTGGGCGGGATACTCTCCATAGCTTGCTGGGCTCTCCAAGAGGGGCAGAGAAATTGAACCTGGGTTGGCCGTGTGCAAGGCAAACGCCCTACCCACTGTGCTATTGCTCCAACCCGGAAAGAGACAGATAATGAAGAAATCATAATCCATTTAGTCCAGTCAAAAACTAAGGTACTGAATGATGGGGCTGGAGCAATAGCACAGAGGGTAGGGCGTTGCCTTGCATGTGGCCGACCCAGGTTCAATTCCCAGCATCCCATATGGTCCCCTGAGCACTGCCAGGAGTAATTCCTAAGTGCAGAGCCAGGAGTAACCCCTGTGCATTGCTGGGTGTGACCCAAAAAACAAACAAACAAAAAGAAAATTAAGGTACTGAATGAGAGACCAAAAAGGCCAGGACTTTTTCTACTTTAAATCAGGATTAACTTTTGGGCTAGCTTCAATCTTCAGTATTTATCATTAAAATTGTCACACAACTGTCAATTAATAGAGAACATCTATTAATACAATGTGACTAAATTAATTCAAAATGGTTTGCAGGCTGCCTATGAATTATCCAGGTAGTTTGTTTTGACTTTTTCTACTATGTTCTATGCAAGGTGTTTTGTTTGAGTAAAGAAGAGAAGCTTAAAATAGTAAAGAAGACTCAGAGTTCCTATGACAAACCCTTGGCCTTGGATCACAAAACTGAGGAGGGGAATGAAGATCAGATGAGAGGTGATGAACAGTGGTGGAGCGCTGTGGGCACTGTAGGTGGGAAAGATGCAGGAACATGATCTGTCAATACCGTAAACTTTAACATGATTGGACCCATCGTACCCAAATGCTCTCCAAAAACGAGTTTCTGACCATTAGAGTTTAAACCTTCACTAATTATTTTGCACCTCAGTTTTGTAGAACCATCATGTAGCAGTTTTGCACTCCAATGCATATTTAGTTCCCAGAACCCTGGCTGGTGCCTGTCAGGTGAGGGAAACAGTGGGTGCAAGATAAAGCCCCACAGATGTATACAAAGCCTAACTGAACCTAATTTGGGTCTAGTTTGCATGTGTTAGGCCATACCATGTGGAATATTCTCCAGTGCAAACAGCAGCACAGGATTCAAAACCCCTCTTATTCTCTCTCCTCAGTCCCTGGATGAAGGAGAGTCTTCCAGGTGTGTCACACTTTCTCTCAGTCCCAACTCTCTCAGCTCCACCTGTTGGTCTCACAGTTTGGACCTGTCTTTTCCATAGACTCCCTCTTCTCTGAATACATTAACAGAAGGGAGCACTGAAGTCAGTCCTGTTTTGTGTACTCTGTGTATCTGCTAATATCAATTCTGTCAGCAATAGCTTCATCTGATGGGGAAGGCTTGACATGGGTGATGGGGTAATGGGACCATTCTTTATTAGTTCATACTTGTTTTTAGGTGATTTTTTCCTTCTTTTAAGCATCTTTTCGTGCGTGCGTGTGTGTGTGTGTGTGTGTGTGTGTTTATGGTATTTCTGACCTTGTGATTAGGGATCATTCCTAGAGGTGTTCAGGAGTATGTAGTGCTGGGATCCAACTGAAGTTGGCTGCATGCACCTAAACCCCTGTTTCTGGGCTGTCTTCAGGACCTTGTTTTATTGCCTTTCGTGTGTGTGTGTGTGTGTGTGTGTGTGTGTGTTGCCTGAAACTGAACTTAGTGCTCACACATGCAAGAGAAGTGTTCTACTACTGAGTTATTTCGCTGGCCATTCAAACATTTTTCATTATTTTTGGCTTTTGTGGGTCACACCTGGCATTTCTCAGGACTTTCTCCACACTCTGTGTAGGGATCATTCCTGTAGGAATCAGGGGACTGTGTGGAGTGTTAGTGATCAAATCCCAGTTGGTAGACCTTAGCATATACAACATACCATATGGCCTCTCCGAGTTTAGTGCTCAATGGCTAAGCTTTGCTGAGAGTAGGTATATAATCCCTAAAAAAAATCAGCATATACCCCCCAAAGTACATAACTATAAGGAAGGTGTATTATGGTACATTTTATGGTTAAGAAATTAAAATAGGGCTGGAGAGATACAGCAGGTAAGGCACTTATCTTGCATGTGGCTAACTGTGGTTTGATCCTAGACACCCCATATGGTCCGCTGAGCATGACCAAGAGAGACTCCTTAGCTCAAAGCCAGGAGTAAGCCCTGGGAATCACCAGGTGTAGCCCCAAACAAACAGATAAAAGTAAAGTAAAGTAAAGGCCCTCCCGTTGATCATCGATTTGCTGGAGCACGTCTCCATTGGAGACTTTGTTGTTACTGTGTTTGGCATATCGAATACGTCATGGGGAGCTTGCCAGGCTCTGCCGTGCGGGCGAGATACTCTCGGTAGCTTGCCGGGCTCTCCGAGAGGGCGGAGGAATCGAACTCAGGTTGGCCATGTTGGCTGCATGCAAGGCAAACGCCCTACCGCTATGCTAAGACAAAACAAAACAAAACAAAATAAAGACCCTTAAATGAGTTGGAGATGTTACTCAATGGTCTAGTGTCTTCCTTACCAGTGACTGTGAGTTGGATCCCTGGCACTGCCCACACGGTACTACTATTCTGACATCTGGTGTCACAATCAGGTTTTTGATCTCCAGTGCTTGAAAACCATGTGTGTGTGTGGTTATGGGTGGTGAGTATAGTGAAAGCACATGACCCCCTGTGAATAGCACAACCAAGTGCCCCTCGGTTGAACACAAAGTGGTAGATGGGGCCATCAGGACCACATCTGGCCGAACTGGAGGGCCAATAAACTGCTAGGAATCAAACTTATGACCTAGTATATGTGCTCTAGTCCTTTACTCCCGGGCTCCTGGGGATGGGTTTTTACAGATAAGGCATCCCTCTTCACTTTTTTTCCCCTTTCATTTTATCATTGTTTTTATTTTATATTTGTTTTATGGTGGTGCTCAGGGACTACTCTCAGCGTGGTGCTTGGAGGTCACTCCTAGCATTGTTTGGGGACTGTGTAGTGGCGAAGACAGAGCCCATTTCTCCTGAATGCAAAGCACGATGCCAGCACTTTATGCAATCTCCAGTCTGGCCTGTGTTTTTCACGCTCCTCCTTCTTCATGGAGAGGAGTTGAAACAGAAAGAGGAATAGGTGATATCATGCTCCATATGATCAAAGGCCTGAATTGGACTAGAGACTTAGTACAAGGGACAGGGTGCTTGCCTTTCTCTCAGCAGACACTGCTTCAATCCCCCACATCACACATGGCCCCTTCACTGGGTATGTCCCAAACACTCCCTTGTCACCCCGCCAAAAAAAAAAAAAATAACCCCATGGACCAAAGAGGTGAAAAATGAAAGGAAACAGAAACCTGAGTCCTTGATGATACTGATTTTGGTTTTGAGAAGGTGCAGTTCCCCAGTATTCCTGGGCCCCCAGGGCTATGCCTCGTGGTGTTTAGGAAGCTAAGTAGTGGTAGTGATCAAACCCAGAGAACAGTGTATGCCAGGTATGCACTCCAGATCTCTGGGCTATATTCCCAATCCCCTTGATGATACTCTGAGCCTCTGACTTAGCCTTGCAGCCTTATGTTGAAATCTCCTGATCTGACAAAACAGAAACAAGTCTTTTTGTACGGGGTGTGTTCCCTAAAGCCAGGTGGCATACCAATCTGAAGAAATCATTAGCATACAAAATACTCTTTGGGGTTGATGGGCACACTAGGAGATACTCTTGGCTCTGCATTTGGAAATTACTCCTAGCTGGGCTCAGGGAAACTGGATGGGGCTCTGAGATCGAACCTGGGTCGACCCTGTGCAAGCAAGCGCCCCAACTCTGTACATTCTCTCCCATCTAAAGATTCAATTTACCCATATTCAATATGAATCCCCAATAAATAGTATACTGCGTGGTCACAGAGAGAGCAGTAATATCTATGTTTGCTGGCTGGGGCGATAGCACAGCGGGTAGGGAGTTTGCCTTGCGGGGGACCCAGGTTCTATTTCCAGCATCCCATATGATCCCCTGAGCACCGCCAGGAGTAAATTTCGCCGCTGGGGGTGGGGGAATTTTATAAAGCAAAGCTTGAGAAACATTATCTTTGAGAGCAAGATTAGGAGTTTTCCATCGTGTTTTCTTTAGCAGGATTGTTATCTCTGATTCACTGACATTTCCTAATTAAGCGAGTTCTGCAAGTTTCCCCGGCCTCTTGGGGGAACTGGTTTCGTTCTGTAAAACCACCCTGTGGCGCCACCTCTTGGAGCTGCCAGGAAACTTTATACCTGAAGCCACCAAACCCGGGCTCTCGGCGTCCCTGCGGGGGCGGAGGGCGCGCTCTCGCTTTACGCATGCGCTGCAGGTGAGCGCAGCCTAGCCCGGAAGAAAACTACAATTCCCAGAAGGCCGTGCAGTAGGAAACGCGAAGCCAACCGCTAGGCGGACCGGAGGGGGCCGGGGGAAGGCGGCGCGGAAGGCTCGCGAGAGAACGAGGTCGAGGCGGCTGCGCGAAGTGGGCGCAGGGGGCGGAGCGAGCGAAGAGGAAGAGGAGGCGGTGCCGTCCCACAATACCAGGCGGGAGGGCGGGTAGGCGGTTTGTATCCGGGCTGCGAGGTGCTCGGAGCGTCCGCGGACCCTGCTGCCTCTGTCTCTTTAACGCGAGAGGAAGCGATGCAGAGGGGTGGAAAATGGCAGAGCTGCAGATGTTACTAGAGGAGGAGATCCCGTCTGGCAAGAGGGCGCTGATAGAGAGTTACCAGAACCTGACCCGGGTGGCGGACTACTGTGAAAACAACTACATACAGGTGAGGCGCGGGCTGGCCGGGGCCCAGGAGGACCCGCCGCCGCCGCCGCCGCCGCCGGCCGCGCCGCTGACCGGCCCCCCTGGGCGGGGTTGGGGAAGTGACCGGAGCTCCGCGGCTGCCTCAGCCCCGCGCCCCGGGCTGGGGGCGCGCGCGAGACGCGGGGCTGAGGGAGTCGCGCTGCGCTGCGATACAGGAAGTGACCGGGGTGGTGGCGAGCGACCGAGGGGAGCGAGAGGGAGAAAATGGGCGAGGGAGCCGAACGCCCCGCCGCCGCCTTCCACCCCAATCCCCGTTCCCCGGCAGCCTGGGCTCGGGCTCGGGCGCGGGGCGCCGGGCGGCCGCCCTGACGCCTCTCGGCGGGGAGAGACGATCTAGGAGCGCGAGGGGGAAAGAGCACGGAGCCGGGCGCCGGGAGGAGCGGCAGGGGCGAGAAGGAAAAGCGGGGTGTGTGTGTGTGTGTGTGTGTGTGTGTGTGTGTCTGTGTGTCGGGGGGGGGGTAAGGGTGGGGGCGATTAAGTAGTTCAACCCAGAGGGTGTGTCTTTTTATTTTTTATTTATTTATTAAAAAAAAATTCTGTCATGAGTCACATTACACAGACCTCCCCGAGGAGGGCAGGAAGCGGGTGGGGAGTGCGGGAGGGCGCCGGGAGCGAAAAGTTCCACGCAGAATTCCTTGAATTGAAATTGATGGAATTGTGCGTGCCGGCCGGTTTGCAAGTTGGGACGCCTCACATTCCCCACCCCCCCCCCCCACACACGCATACACACTCACTCTCACTGATTTCACTACACACCTACACACACTTATCGATTTCACTTCAGACACGCACACACACACACTCACTCTCACTGATTTCACTACACACACACACTGGTTTCACTACACACACATACACTTACAGATTTCACTTCACACACACACACACACACACACACACACACCCCTTATCGATTTCACTTCCGCCCCGAATGGGTTTCCACGACGGTCCCGGCGCCGGGTGGCAGAAGACGCACGTTCTTCACTGCTTAGAAAGTGCCCTGAAATGTCTTACCCCAGAGTTTTAGAAGCACCCGTGAATAACTTAACATAGAAAGGCCCGATCGCCGGTTGCTTCTTTCAAAGGGTTCTCTCCACCGATAAGAGTATACCGCTGTGTACTCTGAACCATGTATTTAAAAGCTTCAAGTTCTCACCACCTTATGTGACAGATCGTTTTTGTGTTGTTGTTCTTTTAAGTCACTGAAAGCGGTTTTGTCGTGGTAGTTAGTAGTTATTTAGCTGCGCCAGCCAACAGTGTACCGCAGAAGCGGATGAAGTCAGTCCTTAAAATTGACTTGTCCCGAAAATTGACTTGTTAGTGCTAAGGCGTTACCAAAACTTGCTTTGCAAGGTTAAGGTTATTGCGAGTCAGAAGTGAAGTATTTATGGGAATGTCTTCCATGTGATTATCATTTTTAAGAACCAATAGATTCTGTGTTGGCAGCTGCTTTTTCTCATTATTTTTAGAAGTTTTTTTTCCCCAGAATATTTTGCATATTTCTCAATTTCCATATTAGTAACATTGTATCTCCAGTAGCGCTACTAAGAATTCCTCTCAGCTCTTTTCAAGTGTTTATGAAATCTGCTCATAAACTTGTTGAATGCTTGTTTTTGCAAACTTTATATTTAGCCTATAATTACTTTAGACAGTAGGAATTCAGATGTTGATGTTCCCCTCCCCCACTCCCCTTATGCAGAGGATCAAACCCAGATCTTCACATGCAAGGCAAAAGCTCTACTTCTGAGCTACATCTGGCCTTGACTGTAGATTTTCATATAGAAATTTGATCTTGTAGTTGATCAGTTATGAAAATCCTGATAATTGAGGTGAATCACAGTTTGCCTTTAGTTTTAAAGATTTTCAAAGGGAGAGGATTTAAAGTTAAATTGCCTCAATTCCAAAAAAGTCATTCCTTTATAGATGTCAGCAGATAAGGGCATCATGAAGAGGTGGCTTCTTTTTGTTTTGCATGTTGGGAAATCTGACAAATATATGGTGTGGTAACTATGTGTTGGCAAATGCAAGCGTGTTTTAACCTGTCTGTTGACTATTTCTTTTTCAGGTAGTTGGGTGCTGTAAGGCTTTTTTCACCACCCCATTCCCCCACTCTTTCATTTTATTTTCTCCTTCTGCCACCATCATGACACTTTGAAGCACTTTAAAACTTCACTGGTTATAACTCCGATTATGTCATATTTTTTCTCACATTTCTTTTAGACATGCTAATACTGGATATTAAGATCAACAGTAGCTCCAATTCTTCTGGGTTTTTTTTGTGGTCCTAAATTTGATACAAGCAAGATACTCTGATTGTATTGGTGGTGGTGGTGGTGGTGGTGGTGGTGGTGGGGAAAGTGAAAGGTAACAATCACATAGAAAAATGTTTATTTTACTTATTTTATTTGGTTTTGCCCTTTGGGTCACACCTGGTAATTCTCAGAGGTTACTCCTGGCTCTGCACTTAGGAATTATTCCTGACGGTGCTGAGGGACTTGATGGGATACTGGGGATCGAATAGTGTCAGCTGTGTGCAAGGCAAATACCCTGCCTTCCTGTACTCTTGATTTGGTCCCACAATCTTTATTTTGGTAGCTTTTAAAATTTTGGGTTGTGTAATGTGACTTACTAGTTTCCTTTATGAGAGACTTAGATTGGTTCAGGCTCAGACAGATGAAGACTTGTGGAAATTGATATAGTACCTGTCCTTATGATATGCTGTGCTGCTAACTTTGATACTGTGAATAGGAAACAAAGAATACTAGAATTGCTCATTTGTATGTCTTTTAAGATATTTTTATGACTCCAAGTTATAATCGGAAGCTACTTAAATTTAACATTTTAATTTAAATTAAATTTCCCTGAACGGGAAAGTGACTGGCCAGAACTTTGAGAATAGTTTAAAATTTATTTTATTTTATTTTATTTTTGGCTTTTTGGGTCACATCCGGCAATGCTTAGGGGTTACTCCTGGTTCTGTACTCAGGAATTACCCCTGGTGCTACTTGGGAGTGGCATATGGAATGTTGGGGATTGAACCCAGGTTGGCCGTGTGTAAGGCAGGCAGGTATCCTACGCATTGTACTATTGCTCAGACCCCAAATAGTTCTTTTTTTTTTTTTAATTTGTATTAGTGAAACACCATGAGGTACAGTTGTAGACTTACAAATTTTTGTGCTTGGGTTTCAGTTATACAGTGATCAAGTACCCATCCCTCCACCAGTGCGCATTTTCCACCACCACTGGTCCCAGTATCCCTCCCATCCCCCATCCCCCTCCATCCCCCCCTGCCTCTGTGGCAGGGCATTTCCTTTTGTTCTCTCTTTTGGGTGTTGTGGTTTGCAAAAGAGGCATGATTGCCACTCAATAGTTCTTTTTTTTTTTAATAAAAATTTTTGTTTTTTTGGCTACAGTGCTCAGGGTTTACTCAGGGCTCTATACTCAGATATCACTTCTAGTGGATTAAGGGGACCATATGGGGTTCCTTGCCCACTATACTATCTCTCTGGCCTTGCCTTGAGAATAGTTTATATTCAGGGTGAATAAAATTACTGTCTGGATGGTCTTTTTATTCTGGAAATTCAGCCTTCTCTGTTTTCCTGATTTTGAAAGTAATCAGATTAATAGGATCTCCTGCCCTTGAACACTTTATTGGCTCTTTTGGTTCCCGATTACATTAATTATTAAATTATTATTAACAGTAAAACTTCTCAGGGACCAGATCCCTTGTCTTGTATGCATCCAATTGTGTGATTTAGTTCCTAGCATTACATATAGTTCCCACACTGCCATCCCCAGATTGCCAGGAGCATCACTGAAGACCCATGTGACCTAACCCCTCCTTCACCCCCCCCAAAAAAAAAAGAAAGAGGAAAAAAAACAAAGCTTCTCAAAAGAGTAGTATCTTAAAAATAGGATTCTTGGTTTTGGGTTTGGGGACCACACCCAGGGTGTTCAAGGGCTATTCTTGGCTCTGCACTCAGGGGTGGATACTGGTGGTGCTTAGGGAGCCATATGTAATGTTGCTGCATGCAGGCAAGTGCATTAACCCTTTTAGTATCTCTCCTGGCACCATAACAGTACAGTGGTTTTGGTTTGGAATTTGAGCACAATCCACAGTGCATAGGACCACCTCACAATTTGTTGCTTAGTGTTAGTGCTGAGAGTCAAACTGGGGTCCTCCGTGGAAATCATATTCTCCCATTTGTTGAGTTATCTCTGGTCCCTAGGAAATATGGGGGGGAAATTAAAAAATGGATTTTTTATTAGAACATTTGTATCAGCATTAAAATTTCTTTTCCTCTTTTAAGTTTTCTGGTGGATTATATAAAAACAGTTACTTCTCAGTTTGAACACTTGAATTCAGTCTGACCAGTTCTCTTCAGCATCCATACTGCCTTTGTCGTGGTAACTATTTTGGGAAATAGGAAAGGGAACAAAGTGAAAGGAGTAGAAATTGCTTAAAGATTTCTCAGCATGAAGATTGTTAGATTGGGTTAAGATAGACAAGTTTTCCATACAGCTTAACTATTTTTTTGTGGTGGTTGGGGGTACACTCTCTATTACTAAGGGATTGCCATGTAGTGCTAGGGGTTGAACCAAAAGCTCCGTTTTTTTTTTTTTTTTTTTGGCCTGTATCTGGCTCTTTCTTTAGGGCTTATTCCTGGTTGGTTCTGTGTTTAGGGATTACAGCTGACTGTGCTCAGAGATCATTCCTGACTCTGCTTTGGCATTACTCCTTAAGTGCTCAGGAATCACGCTTGACAGTTGGGATCGAACCAGGATCCCCTATGTGAATGGCAAGCACCTCCTCTGCTGTACTGTTCAGTGGCTGAACCTGGGACTCTAAGCAAAATATATGCTCTTCCCTTTGAGCTATTTTCCAGGCTCCAGTTTAACTGTAAATTTTTTTTTTCTTGTTTGCATTTGGGTGGGCCACATGTCAGTGTTCAGAACTTACTC